ATAATGAGTGTTCATCCAAATATTCAACAAGTTTCTTACATTTTAGTGAAAAATTAAAGTGCAAAAAGAAAATTATTTATTTATTGTCTAAGTAAGAGTCACAACCTAGAGGGTGCTTAGGTGGGTTAGACGGATGCCTAAGCGGGTCTAGACACACTTTCTTAATTTTCAAATGATTAGGGACTAATCAGGATGGTAGCCAGTCGCCTAGCGCCTAGGCGAGGCCTAGGCAGCTCTAGGCTGAGATTTTTAGAATAGTGATTAAACTTATAACATGTGCAAACGTTCTTGTATTGATATACTTAAGAACTCGAGCATGTCAATCATATTATACACTCATCTTATAACACGTGAAATAATGTACATCACATAATATTTTTAGAGATACTTAAACTTTTTTTTCTCTCAGCTTTCCTATAATATATATATATATATATATATATATATCTTTAGCAGATTAAATTTGATCAAGCTAAGCTGTCAAGAAAAATTGGGAAGTTTCTCTCTCTATCGAGTTCTTCATTTAACTGATCCATGCTTCCCCTTCGTACCCTTCTCCTCTATCTCCTCCTCCTCCTCTTATTCCACCATGCCATTGAGAATTCCTTATCACGTTATTTCCACCATTCTTTGCCTCTCTCTTCTCTTCTTGTTCTTGTTTCATGAATATTTCCACAACTACTCCAAGATTTCCACCACAAACATTCACAAAGAAAGCATAAGATCTTATTCATCATCGCTTTCTCATCATCATCAGCGTCGCCCTAATACGATCAGCAGAAAAGTGTTAGCAAGCAAATTTGACTTCACGTCATTTGTACATCCTCACCAACAACGCCAAAGGTCATCAAAAACTCGGCCGGCTGATCATCATCACATGCAAGCACAATCGGAGCCCTCGGCCGATGATCCGACGGAGATTGATCCACGTTATGGTGTTGAAAAGCGACGTGTTCCCACCGGTCCAAACCCCTTGCACCATTGATCATATCAGCTTTAATTTCTCAGGTGATCAAGTACTGTACATGAAGTGAAGGAAAGATAAATATACAGAAAAAGAAAGATTTATACTAATATTATTGAAGCGTTTATTATTACTTACATATGATGTTTTCCCCACTATTTCAATTTTTCTTGTCGAGAAAACAGTGAACCATAATGTAGGAGCTTGAGGGGTAATTTTTTGGTGTACTTAAAATATGATCATGTGATATTATTTTCTATTTAGATTATGATATGTAGATTTGTTTTTTATTTTATTTATTAATTTACTTTAAAAATAAGATATATTAATTATTTTGTCGACTCTTATTATATAGAATAATACTCTACGTATTTATATTCCCCGTAGTTATAAATTTTAAAGAGTTGTTTTGATATAAATTTATCGAGTTCTTGGGGTTGTACATACATGTATGAAGGGATGGTCGACGGTCGACACCATAATTGTTTTCATAATGAAAAGGAAGAATGAATTAATACTCCAATTTATGGGCATGATTACTATGATATCTTATAAATGTTTTTACAATTTTACGTAAATCGATCGATTGCAAGGAAACATGAGTAGCTGTGACGGCACGGCACGGCACGCTTTGAGAAGATATTTGTCTAGCATTTGCTAGATAGATTTTTAGTGTGTCTGTAATACGGGATATGTATATCACATGTTATTATATAAGTTAAAGAACATTTGAAAATATAACTTTCCTCTACTTATATAATGACAATATCGTATACCATCCGTGTTCCGGACACAATAAAAAATTTCTCTATTTGTTATAGCTAACATCATCCATAACAATTAATTAAGACATAATTAATTAATTAATGAGGTTGGTTAGTATGAAAGGTTTTTCTTTCTTCGCATTGCAGATTGATTAAGCGCTGCATTGTAGGTCGACCAACATGCGATGGGTTTGGTGCTACTTAATTGCCAGACCTCTTTTAGAATTTGGATACACCGATTCATCACGGTACATTAATGTCATCATGAATACTAAGGTCATCTCCAACCGAAGAGGATCAAATGACTCCCTTTAGCCCTATAGTTCTGCAAGAAATTATATTTTAATGAACAATGTTAGGCCATATTTTATACCATCACCAACCGAAGGGGCAAAAGGACAATATGCCAAACATAGCCCTTTGACAAAAAATCATCTCCAATCAAGGGGGCAAAGGGCCATAGGCCAAGCATAATTTATTATTTTAATTAAATCAATATGGTTAATTAAATCAAACTACCATATTAAAATAAGATTTTCAGACATATTTTGAGTGTCACTTGCCGCCAAATGAATAAGCCTCCGGATTTCTTATCTTTATATAATCTCAATAATTTTTTGGATAGGATTTCAAGTAACACGTGTCGTTAACGTGAGTAACTCTCCAGATTTCTTATTTTTATGTAATTTCAATAATTTTTCCAATAAGATTTCGAGTGACATGTGTTGCTAAAGTGATTAATTCCTAGATTTCTTATCTTTATGTAATATTAATAATTTTTTCGGATAGGATTTCAAGTGCCACGTGTCGAGATGTAATTGGTTGTGCAAATTTTAAATAGGATTCTTATCTACGTGGCACTTCTTATCTTCAACTTTCATATTGTAGGAATGGTGTAGGTATTTATAGGAAAAACAATTAGATTTTTTTTTATTTTATAAAATTCGTCCAAAAAAAAGAATTTCAAATTCCAAAGGTAACTTGACGGCAGCATGACGTTAGCTACCCGTTGCTAGCTAGCGTTATGCTGACGCCAGGTAGCCGTTGGCATTCAAATTGGCTGAGCTAGATAGCTAGCAAAATGTCAAGCTTGACATTCTAGAGCTGGAAGGCTGGCAAAATGTCAAACTTGACATTCTAGCGCTGGAAGGCTAGGCTGGAAATGGCTAACCTGCTAGCCTGATTTGGGGGTTTGGGCCCACAAACCCTTTGGCCTAGCCATCAATTGGAGACAATTTTTGTGTCATTCCGAGCTATTTTTAGCCCTATGGCCCTTTGGCCCTTTGGCCGGGTTGGTTGGAGATGGCCTAATAGGTTGGCATCACAAATCTGTATGTATGTACATATAAAGTTCGAGTGTCCTAGTGCATTATATAAATTTGGAATGTAAAACTAAAACATCCGCATCTCCAACAACAATTAAGCTTTATCCCACTAAGTAGGGACGGTTATACGAATCCTAGAACATCACTGCATTTAGTTTTGTGTCAAGTCTTTTGTTAAGACTAAGTACTCCATATCTTTTTTTAAAGTTTCTTTCCAAGTCTTCCTAAATCTTGCTCTACCCCTTTTGCCCTAAACATATGTCTCATAATTGCATCTTCTAACCGAAACATCATCGATTATAAACCGATATGTGCAAATGTATTAGTGCACTAATATAAAAGGGAAATGTTATTGGCACTAAAAAAATCTCATTCTACACTCCTCACAAGTGTATTTTTCTTTCCAACTATAAAAAATTTGAAGTGTAGAATGTGATTTTTGAAGTGCCAATAACAATTCCCATATAAAAATTTAAAAAACACTAATCGGTGATCTCAACTAACGTTTCACATCATCAATCTGTTTCAAGAATCCACTTTTATGATGGGGTAAAAGCACAATGTATCTCTCAACGTGGCCTTAGAATTCCTGTTTACCATTATTATTATTTGGGCAAATTAAGCTCGACACTTAAAATCGATTTTCCATTTTTTTTGTTATTATTAAAGAATATTTGCTACATATAGACGTGGTTGGATCAAATATATTCTTCTTGCGTGCTAGACAAGCTAGGTATAGTTAGTTATTTATTTCATTGTTAGTAACCTAGCTAGTAAGTAGGTACGTTATACTTAATTTTGCGTTCGATGCACTTCTACTCGTATTAAGATTCAAATGTGCAAGATTTGAGTCCCAACTATCTGATTCATTTGAGACGAGAAATGCTACATATTTTCAATCATTCACCTATAATTTATGAATATAACATAAATTTAAAATTGTCTAAAATCATTTGACTCAATCTATGAGTCAAAATCTTGAACTCTATAATTTTCACAAATGATTGACATGAAATACGTAAATAAATACCTTGATAATGCCTTTAAATGTCATCTACAATCTCTATTTTGAGCGATCCGTAGACCAGCTGTAGATGTGGAAGAAATTAGGATCTCTCTAGCCTTACTTGCACATTAAAACCTTAAAACGTGGTTTTCGTTAATGTACACATTAAATAAGTATGTGCACTATTATAAGGAGAGATGACCCGTTTCCATCAACCAGACCATGCATACAAACGCAATAATGGCCTCCCACTCATGGCTTTCGCCACCCACGTTTGAAAGGGTCTGCCGACTTTCTCTATTTACTTCTCCAATTATATTAGGAATAAACATTTTCTGAACTTGATTTTGTCAACGTTGCCCTAACCATATTAAGAATAAACATTTCATCTGAGGTATTTCTGTTAACGATTCAGAAAACTGATAAAATTATCCATCATGAACCATTTCTGGGAAGGTGATTAATTGCGAAAGACGAATAGGTGTATGTTTTGCAAACCTAATCCAGATTAAGTCAACTTACAACTTCAAACTAACAAGTAACAATAATACAATTTAATACAGCTACATCTCGATGGAAGATTGTGACACATATAATTGTTTAGAAATGTTTTTAGAATGACTAAAAACGGTTTCATTGAAAATATTTTTAGGTTCCAAAACACTTGAAGTGCACTTAAAATGCTATTCAGGATTCACTCGTAATTTTATCAAGGATTGGCTCCAATAACACTTTTATCAAAAACGTTTTCAGTTATTTTAAAAACACTTTTAAACACATGTGTCTATACTACACAAGAAAAATAACGACTAAATTAATTAATAATCAAAACCAAAACACACATTTAGAGAATAATAGGAAGCAAACAAATTATATTCAACAAGTTCCCCCCACCTTCCACCGGCCACAACTAATTCAAACAAAATAATTAAACTAATATACCATCTCTTATATAAACCCAAGGCGGTGCAGGTTTAAATTCAATGATCTTAATATAATCAATTATATTTCACAACATGGTTCGTCCAATACCAGAGGTTGCAACCAACAACTTCGCCTCAATGCCGCTAGCAATCACCTTGTTCGTCTCAGTCTCTGCCCTTGTAGCTTTATGTGCCAAAGCCAACCATGTACGCCGCCGTGCCTCGCCCGTAAAACAAACTAAGTCGCCCTCGGCGGCACCTAAGCAACTTGTGGCCAGCCTCAGCAACAAGGCAATTCCACTCGTCTCCAAAAATAAAGGGGAAGAAGTTGAAGCAGTGGATGATGGGTTTGGAGAAGGAGGGGTGTGGCAGAGGTCAATTTTGATGGGAGAAAAGTGCCAGCCACCTGAATTTTCAGGTGTGATATATTATGATGAGTGTGGAAAACAACTTTCTGAGCTGCCACCAAGGTCGCCTAGGGTCGCCAGTCCCTTGCCAAACTTTTTCTCTCCTGCGGCTAGAGATATGCGACCTTGCTAGCTATAGGTGATCAATTTAAATCCTATATGTACAGTACCATATATATGTTTGATATACTATAAGAAACTCAAACTTTATTGGTGTTTCAACTTTATATGTGCACATTTTGACAGCTTCATTCTTTAGTTGAACTGTGTAGGATTGGAGATTGAAGACGATAGAGGCATGAATGGGAACTTGGTGGAGGCGGCTAAGCAGCTAAGTAGAAGATTTAGAAGTTTTGTATGTCGTTGGCACTTGGATCCTCCGTGGCTGATGCCGTTTTTGGAGGTGGAGACGGAGCCACAGAGTCGATGATTTCTTGTGATGGCTAGTAGAGATCTTTTTTCTTTTCGATGGATTTTTCCACCTTGGGAAATTTTCAAATCAAAAGGTTTTTTTTAGAAGTCCATGTTTGTCATATTTTCTTTTTCTTGTTGGTTCATACTACATCTATGTATTACTTTTTAATGGTTGGGAATGAAATTCATCTTTAACGATATAAAAAAACTGTGTAAGATTATTTCCTAGCTGTATGGTATCAACAGCATCGGGAAGGTGTGAAATGTAATAAAACCATTTATTATGGTAAACATGTTTTTTTTCCTTTTAAACAGTAAGTTTAAATGTCAAAATGGTCTCTGCGTTTTGTTCTATAGCCAATTTAGTCTATGTGCTTTCAATTTGGCAAAATTACTATCCGTGTTTACATCTACTAGCTAATTCAAGATAATTCATTTAAAGACCGTTAAAATTAACATGTGCATGACATATAAAAGAATAAAAACGTAATTTTAATACGAAAGAATGACCGAATCCGTATTATTAATTCTATCCGAGTTGCCAAACAAGACCCGTTAAAAATAGGGAGATGTGCACATGGAACCCAAGTATCATCCATTGATGATGGCAAGTAAAATGTCTCTAACAAATTCACCCTTCTCTCTCATGCTCACTCATAAAAACCAGCTCCCACCCTTCTTCCGTCTGTCTCACCTACTTTGACTCCTCCAATGGCTTTGCTTCTCCTTCCTCACTCCTTCTCTTTGTCCCTTCTTCGAAACCCTACTGCTCCGCCGACAGGACATACAACAAGAAGAACAAGACACCGGTTTCTCGCATTGGCGGCGTCTTCCTCGGACTCGGAGGATGACAAGAATAATGCTTCTTCTCAGAAGTCAACCAAGTTGGTCACTTTCTTGGGGAAAGGTGGGTCCGGAAAGACCACCTCCGCCGTTTTCGCCGCCCAGGTATCTCTGTAATGTGTGTCTGAGTTAAAACTAAAGAAACCAACGATGCCCAATTTAACGTTAATTTGAAATTTTGTTGGAATTATGGTTGTGGGCAAAGTTTTAATCGTGAAAAGATTGAATTTTTTTAATGATTTGAATGGTTTTCAATTGGGAAATTTGACCACCAAGCATATGAATTTAGCTGATTGATTATATGTTGGGTTTTTCAGCATTTTGCAATGGCAGGGTTTAGCACATGCTTGGTGATACACACACAAGATCCCACTGCTGAGTTCCTTCTAAACCGAAAAATCGGAACTTCTCCTACATTGTGCAGCCCCAATCTTTCTGCTCTTAGATTTGAAACCACCAAAGTATGTTTTCGGAATCCGTTTTTGGTTTTTCGCATTTTCCCTTCCAATAATTAATGTATGTCAAGAAATATGCTGCAAGTTACCTAGACCCAAATTGGATCGTTCTTGATAATGTAGATGCTTCTAGGACCTTTGAAACAGCTAAAGCAAGCGGATGAGCGCCTTAATATGACGCAAGGAGTTCTCGAAGGGGTAGGTATGTAACATCGGTTGAGGGGTTTAGTTACACATTAATGGTCTTTCTGTGGGGGGATTGATGATGCTTCTGTCTTTTCGATTGAGCAGATTGTCGGAGAAGAGCTTGGGGTGCTTCCTGGGATGGACCCTATTTTTTCCGCATTAGCGCTTGAGAGGCTTGTTCAATTCTTTAGGAATGTGGCACAAAGATACCGCAACGAAGATAATTTTGATGTAATAATATATGATGGTATGAGCTCTGAGGAAATGCTGCGGATGATTGGTGCAGCTAGAAAAGCAAGGTCAATGAACACACCCCACACGCGCGCGCTCACACACGCACATGAACAAACATTCATATATTGACATGAATCACATGATCTGTGCATAGGTTGTATTTGAAATACGTGCGGAACACGGCTGAGAAAACTGACCTGGGGAGGTTTGCCGGTCCTTCAGTTCTGAGACTTGTGGACGAAGCCATGAGTATAAGCAGCAGTACTCCTCGTCTCAATGGGAAAATGAGTGCAGAAATATGGGACAGTCTGGAACAAATGTTGGAGGTAAGTATCAGCATATTTCCTGTAACTGCAGTTTGTTTGTAAATCCAATGAGATCCTGCAATTGTTATGTGTGGCGCAGAGAGGGTCATCTGCTTTCTCAGAACCTGAAAAATTTGGCTGCTTCCTAGTGATTGACCCAGACAACCCAGTGTCTGTTCATGCTGCACTACGCTATTGGGGTTGCACAATCCAAGCTGGTGCACAGGTTTCCGGAGCCTTTGCTGTTGCTTCACGACATAAAAACACAGAATCAGAGGAAAGACTCAAGAAAAACTTTTCACCCTTGCCTTTTGCTAGCATTCCAAATATTTCCTTGGGTTCCCCTCTAGATTGGAATGCGATCATACAGGACACGTTTAGTGAAAGTACACGAAATCTGCTTTCTATGACAGCAAGTGGCAGTGGTAACCTAACGCCCTCAGTAAAGTTTGATGCTGCCAGAAAATCAGTAACCCTTTTCATGCCAGGTTTTGACAAGTCAGAGATCAAGCTATACCAAGTATGCTGATAACTTTTTTCATTTTACTATTGTGCTCAATTTTTTTTTATGGCCTTTGACGTGCACATTTTCGGCATCTTTGGTGTGATATTGAACATACAAAAATCTGTGAAATGCAGTATAGGGGAGGATCTGAGTTGCTGGTGGAAGCAGGGGATCAAAGACGCGTAATTCATCTGCCTTCAAAAATTCAAGGGAAGGTTGGAGGTGCCAAGTTCATGGACAGAAATCTTGTAATCACAATGCGATAGCGTATTCAAGTCCTAATGATTTCGTATATTTTATAATTAATTGAGATGTCTCTGTGAGAGAGTAGGGAAGCTGATTTCATTACAATTTCAACAAAGGTGGTTCTGACTTGTGTATTTTACCAAGCATATGAAATAAAGCTCACACAGCAACTTCCAGAAATAACTCTTCGTATGATTGATCTTTCTAACTTAATTTCCTTTTGGCTTGAAATGGATTATTGATCGTAATACACGCTTGATACATATGAACATACATTCTACGACGTTAAGCGGCCAAGATGAAATTTACAGCAGAAAATAGGGACGAGAACAGAGAAAAAAATTCGAATGAATCATGATTCCTGATTAGTTTCTTCTGTTTGTCCATGGACACGGCCCCTTAGCTCTTCGAACGCCTTCATGCTCTCTGCATCAAAGCCTCCAGCAAACTGAAAACAGTTCCAAGTTAGCATTCGAATTCTATATGTTTTTCACTGAAATTTCAAATCCTTCACATTTGAAAACTCTTGAGTAATGGGAATTTTCTAATTCTACCGTCTATTTTTACATAAAGAATGAGAAAAAATCAGTTATACCTGATGAACTCGAAAAGCAAAACGCACGCCTTGAAGTAGTATAAACTCTCTGTTTGGTTCCTTCTCAGGTCCACTCAATGCATCAAGTTCCGAAGCTACACGTTTCATATACTTTCTTGCCAATTGCACAGATGAGAGCTTGATCTGCAGTGGAAAAAAATCTTACATGAGCTCAAGTTTGCAAGACGATACATAACATAATCATACAAAATATTAGCAGCAGTAAGCACAGTATAGTTTTTTTGAGTTTTGAAGCATACCTTGCCGACAACCCCTGAATCCAATAACCAATCAACTGGAATTCCAAACTCCTTGCACCGTGAAATAGCCATGTCTCTTGTACGCAAGAGAGCATATACACTCTGTTCCACCCTAGAAGAAAAATAATAAAACACTTGAGAACAAAGAAAAAAATCGAAAAAGCATTTCTTCTAAGCAGCACTTCCATGCATGAAAAGAAAGTTCATACTTCTCAAGCAACGAATACATCTTCTTCAGAGCAGCTTCACATGGGAGTTTGGGATCATCAACAAAAGTGGAGACTTGCTTCTCCAATTTCATCAAGTCTTGGTACTCAAAAGCTGCTTCTCTTAGCGCATCCACTTTTCCTTCAGGCCAATCAAAGTGCTTGAGGACAGCCCTTTCGTCAACCTACCAAAGGCAGCAAGAGATGGCTAAGTGAGGGTGGAAGGAGGGTTTGGGAGTATACAATATCGAAAAGCATGCAATACAAAAGGAGTTCAGATTTAATGGTATAGCAGTTGAGCCTGCTAGCCATCTGATGAATGAAATGTTATCCATTGTTTGCATAATTGAAAGGAACCTTCGAGTGGAATATATGATCGAGTAGAACATTAATGGCATACCAAGAAGGAGAGCTCTTCATCTAGCCAGTTCACAAATGCTACAAGATCTTCTATGTTTGTGAAGGAAGCTGCTCGAACTTCTGCTGCCAACGACATGACAAAATCACCTTGAGCTTCTACATCAGCTTTCACCTGTATCCAACACATAAATTTTCAATCTTCGAAACATTTGAGTACTGAGAACCATATTTTATGCCTCAGATAAGAAGACAAAAGATATAAAAAAAAACAAAGTTCTACTCACAGCTAAAAGGAATGATGATTTATTCTCAATCTCCCCAATCATATTGCTCCTCGCATCGGATACATTAGATGATGAAGATATTAAAGACGATGTATCCTTCTTTGCTTCACGTTTCATCAATGACTGATAGAATTCAACCAGCTCAGGAGCACGGTGTACTTTATCACCACCGCTTGCCCCCTTAGGCAGGCTTCCTGGTGGAGGTGGTGGACGAGGTGGTCCACCAGGTGGTGGTGGTGGTGGCGGTGGGCCACCAGGTGGAGGAGGTGGTACTCCACTTGGGGGACCGGGAATTGTACCAACAGGGGCACCTCCAGATGCCTTAGGAGGCGGGCGAGGTACCCGAGGAGGCCTTTTCTCAATTTGGGCAAGTTTCATCTTGGTTATTGCTTGAGGATCAACAGCATTACCGTCGGCGTTACCATCATTACTTTGGTTGCTTGAATTGCTAGAAATAACTGCCTTTTCCTTGATAAGGGCAAGTTTTGGTGGTAAAGCTACTGATCTCTCCCTTTCAGCCTTGGCTCTGGGCTCGTAGCTCAAACTTACACTTGATTTGTCACCAAACTTCTCTACCCTTGCTTGCTCTGCCCTTTCCTTAATTTGCTTCTCTCTCTCTAAGGCCAACTTATGCCGGTCTTTGTAAGCAGGATATTTCTCATCTAAAACTCCTTCAACTGACTTCGACATCAACTGGAAAGATGATGCCACAGAATTAGGTGAGTCGCTAGAAGACATCTGTGTTCTAATGTTCGGACGAGTGGGAGTTTGAGGGGAGTCATTTTCCTGATCCACCTTTCCAAATGTGGTGATGGCAACACTGTCGCTTGCATTCCTTATCATCAAGGATTCCAGCGGACCCCTTGGTCGAACGCTCATACTTGGTCTGCTTGGAGAGCCTCCAGACAAAGATCTAGCTGGTGATGAACGAACACTAGAATCGTCTTTGCTTTTCCCCCACCTTTTCAGCTTTTGCATTATCCCAGGTTTCTTGCTGAGACTACTATATCGACTTGTGGAACTATCAATAGAAACATTGTCAAAATCTTCACTTCCAGGGGAGGACGGATGAGAGAAGTTGCTCTCAAGATCTGTATCCCCTTGCCCACGTTCTGATCCTGCATACTCCAACATCAGATGTTTGGCCTTCTCCTGCGATTTGGGGCTCAGATTCTTGTTTAGATCACGAGCTGATACCTTTCCTTGGGGTGTTTGATAGTTCCGGAGCTCATACCTCAAGCATGCATTTACCCAACGGAGGTACACTAGCTCTTCAACTTCGCTGAACCTATTCATTTGAAGACCTTCCACCTGCTTCGATAGGTCCTCATTCGCATGCTTTAAATTATTAACCTCCTCTCTTACATTAGCAACCTTTTCAGTCTGAAACATGTGAGGGAAAGCACTGTAAGTATGAAATCACACGAACATGTTTACAAGCACTGAAGCCACTTGATTAAAACTTGTTTCATTCATAATACTTGCTAAACCGCCGGTGCAATTTCCACCAGCTTGCTGAATCCTTTTTGATAAACAAAGAAACTATTTAATCTTGGCATCTCTAGGTTTCTAGTCTCAAGTTTCAACTCAGAATAGTCAGGGGCTAAGTCCTAAACTGAAATAGCCGACGCCAAAAGAGAAACTACATGTTTGGAAAAAGAAAACAAGAAACTTACATGCCAATGTTTTAAATCTTCTCTCTTCGTCTCATATGAAAAACGTAAAGAAAAGAAAGACATGCACGTAATGCAAGAAAGCAGTAAGACGAACCTCCGTCATGTTGGAGAGGGTTGCTACTCTTGCTTCAGCAGCATTCAACTTAATAGTTAGTTCTCTCTTTTCGATTTGAAGTTCTTTGTTCTTTCTCTTAAGCTCCACGACCTCCACCTCTAATTGATTCGCAGCTTTCAGCTTCTTTTCAATTTCAGCATCTTTCTTGACGGCTTCTTCCTCCTTTGCCTGTAAATTAGTAACTTGTTGTTTGAGCAACAGTAACTGGCCTTTTGTCTGGTTAGCATCGAGCTGAATCTGCCTCTGCAATTCCTTGATTTTGTACCTGGCTGCCTCTAGCTCCTTCTTGGTGGAAGCTCCCCGTGTAAGCTCTTCTTGAAGCTTCTTCCTCTCAGACTGCAGAGAGTTAATGGTAATATTGAGCATGCCAATCTCCACTGTCTTAATCTTGAGTTGCCGTTGTAATTCATCAACGTCTGATTCTTGTTCCTTCAATCCATAGTACTCAAGTAATTCACCTTCAAGCTTTACTTCTCTTTCCTCCAATTCCTTTACCAGATTACGCAACCGTTCCAGCTCACTTGCATTATTTGCCATCTCAGCTTCATATATGTCTTTCTCTTTTGTATCTGTCTTGTTAACAGGTAATGGGATTTCAATCTCCCCAGATAAAAGATCTTCAAATTCAGGTAAAATATCTTCATCTCCGATATCACCAGGTGAAATATCACTAGCACGGTTAAATACGCTGCTAATTAACTTAACCTCTTCCTCGTCTTCCTCCTCCTCCTCCTCCTCCTCCTCTTCTTCTTCTTCTTTCTGCAATATGTACCACTCTTAGTTAACTAAAAACAGATTTTTTTTTTTTTTTTTTAAGTAAAAGAATTCTAAAACCTATAGGTAAAGGAAGCGAACATAAAATTTGCTGCTAATTTTACGATGTTACAAAAGAGATGGGACTTTGATAGAAGTTTGTTATGCACTTACATGCTTTTCCCTGAGGCTATCATCAGAATATGTAAGTTGCTCTTCGTCTTCCTTCTCACTTTGATGGTTACTGTTTGCTTTACCATTTTCTAAGTTACAATATCACCAGAAGAATTAGAAGAACTAAGATTATAAAAATTTTGCAGTAAGGGGACGTAAATTTTAACTCGTCTCTGAGACAATATTTACTAGATATGGCTCAGTTGCACTATCTCAACGGATAAAAGAGCTGTAACCATTTTTGTACAATATAATTGTGTCCAATAAATTAATAAACAAGTGACATTTCTGGAACTCATAGAGATGAATACCTGAATGCCTGCCTGTTGAGGCTGATGAACCAGAGTTTTTTATGCTGTGCTGCCTTGCTGCAATCGCTGCAATGGTAGCAGCAACCAGGAGGCTTAACCTGACTATCATGAAGGTATTGCAAATGGGGAAAACTCAAGCTCTCACTTATCTATAAAGATAACCAAATTCGGAACACCCCACCGCCTGCTTCCACCCCACCCCATCGCCTATAATTCAAACCATTTAAGCCCCTAAAATGCAGAAACAGCAACCCAAAATCTGTAATTCCCAAGAGAGATTAAGAAAACAATCCCTTTCCGATATCCATATCCAAGTGTACACATCCCAGACCGTTCAAAGAACTCGCATATATAGGTATATTAGTAGCCAAATCTAACTATGAAGTACAAACATTCCCGACATCATCAGCTATCATCTTCTGAGGTTTGTAGACCAAACATTACAG